ATGCCGCTTTTACCTTTTTTGGGTTGCTCTCCTTTTAAACATGGAAATGTAATTAAAAGAAAGGCAAGCGCTCATTCCCCTGCTGCTCCACAGACACTATCCTGAAAGTTTAATCTAATAGGTAAAAAAAAAGCAATTAACAAAGAGGCTCCGTTCTTAACAAGTTGTCTCAAGTCAGTATTTTTTAAACAGAGCTGATAGCCAAGGGGAGGGAAATAAGGCATTTCACTAGCTTTTTCTAACTGCATGGCCATTGATGTATTACAGTAGTGTGATAACTAGACAAAGATACTTTAACATTCCAGTTTTAAGAAAAGCTTCTTAAAAAAGAGTCTCACCCTAAATTCATGCCAGTTACTTTTTTCACAAAGTCAGGGCTGACTTGTTCTCTTCCCTCCTGCCCACAGGGAAGAGAGCAGGGCTGGGCTCTGGGGCAGGACCTGCTTTCAGGCAGAAATACTCAGTGAAATGTTGCATCTAAATATTGATGTTTCAACAGAACTCACTATTTCCTTAACCGGCTGTTATATATTTGCCTAGAGAATCACACTGGGGAAGAAAAAGCAAATTTTTAGGCCCTTTTAGCAACAATGAATGACTTGGAAATAGTGATGAGCAAATGTGAAATTTTTCAAAGCCATTTGATTTGGGACTCAGATTTCCTGATAACTTGTTAGGATTTGGGTTTGCGAAACAGGTGTTTGGCATTTCTAACTCCCTGCTCCCTTTAGGAGACATCAAACTGAGCATTAAACTCCTACAGTCTTGAAAGTTCAAGTCAAGGTGGTTTTTGTTTTGCTTTTCCCCCTGAAGGTCAGTTCAGGATTGAATCCTTTTGTCAAGGTTGGCTGGAGAGCAGAAGGCTGTGTTAATCTGCAGGCACTGTGGCTCCCTCCCGGCTTCCTTCCCTCGCAGTTTGTTTTACTTCAGGATTCACCCCCTGGGATTGTAAAGGCTGCAGACGAGGGTTAGAGGTGAAACAAAGAAAACAAGGTTGGTTGTTTATTTAGAGGGAGCCAGAATTCATAATGTTGGAGACACTAGGCCCCTCCCAAGAGATAACCGTAATTTTACAGCACCTCTCCACAACTTTTTTTTTTTTCCAGAAATACAATACAGTGACAGATCCAAAATACCAGTTCCCCGAGTAACTTCTAGAACCAAAACAAGAAAGAGTTTTTTCCTGCGAAGGGACCAGCCACTGGAACAAAACATGCTTCCATTGATCTCCACGTGGGAAAGCATCTGAAAAAAAAAAAAAATAAAGACAACTTTGCCTCCTTCGGAGACCTTCTCCTTTTATTCACTCAACTTCTGCTTTATTATGGAGGTCTTTTTTTGACCATAGATCTTTTTTCCTTGGAAGATAATCTCCTTATCCCCCTCCTTTTCAATGAGAAGGCCAAATTTTGCTTTCATTTATTCTCTGTGGAACCCCACTGACCAGTAGCTAACAGGCACATCCCATCCCACACGGGCAGCCTGGCGATGTATTTTCCCTGTTCATACCTTGTTTTAACGATCACAACAGCAGCAAGGGAAGGTGCAGATGCATCCGTTACACCTAAGGAAAAACCTTGCTCTTTCCCCAGGCTTTTCTGGGTGTTTGTCCTCCAGGGCAGCATCCACTTGCAATGAGATCGCTGGATTTACAACAGAGCAAGTGGTTGTACAACAACAAAAACTGGATTCCAGGGTCCTGATAAGAGAAGGTAAGCTGTCCTGCGACCAGAGCCTGGCCAGTCACCCGACCACTAATCCGGGGTGAATCTGCTGGCGTCAGTGGCTTTACGCTAAACACACACTGGGGTGAAAAATGAGAGTCGCAGCTCAGCTCAGGCAGCCCAGCTCCAGCACTCTGCTACCAGAAGTGGCTGCTTACTTTCAAGCTCTCCGCACAGCCTGTAATCACCCAATATTGAAACCAGATTTACAAGCTCTTTAGAGGAGGAGAAGTTTGTGATTTCCAAAGCAGACGCATTTGGTATTTCAGAAAAAGGTCAAGCCCCCTGTGGAGTAAGGGGGTTTTAATAGAATCAGTTCAGCAGGAGTTAAGAGGAGACATACCAACCCAGCGGCTCTCAAAGCCGGGAGAAGCAGAGACATAAGAAAAGCCACAACCATTATTGTTTTGAGGAAAGAATCAGGGAAGAGAGAAGCACGGGGGATGTTAAATTACATCGTGGACGTTTGATTTCATTTATTCCGATCCGAAAGATTTTTCAGTTAGAAATAGAGAGGGTTGTCCTCCTTACACTCCAGGGCTTGCAGAGTTTTCAAAGAAAGGAGTGTTTGTTATTGTCTGCAGGGGAAATCTGAGAGTGCATAGCACAATGACAAATCCAGGCTCCTAAGTCAAATGCATTTTAAAAGGTTAGCTATCACGTCGTCTCACCTCTTCGGCCTCCAGCCTCTGGCCAGGCTCTTCAGCTATTAATTAATGTTTGTTCCCAGCCTCACTAGGTCACATGCAGTCGGTGCCTAGGGCTGCCTTGTTGCACACCGGTATGGCACCCAGCAGCTGGGAAGCCCACGGAACATCACTAAGGTCCCTCTTTTGTCACAGGAATACAGGTTTTCTAAAAAGTGTAATGGACAGCTGCTGTTGCTGAGGTCTGCAGGTAACGTAAGCAGCCACTACAGAAATACTTACTAGTGATGCAGATGGCTACTGCTTGCTCCAACACCCTTTGGACTCTGCAGTCAGTAGTTTCAGTGAAAAGATTTGGGGCTTATTCCATTAACTCACATAGCTGCTGCCAGACAAGACACCAGAGCTCATAATATAGTTTCCTGAATATATGGGCTTTAAAATAAATTGGAAATCCAGATTTCATCCTTAGAAGACTCTTCAACAGCCCAGAAACTTCTAGGCCATATCAGCTACTACACCTAAGCTATACATACTACACCAGGTAACAGAACAGCCCCAGGAGACGGCAGCTGCAAACCTGAGTGCCACCCCCAGCGACTCATGGCCCTGCTCCCAGGACTGCAGGGGAAGGCAATCTCTTTTTTTTGCACGATCTCTTTTCTTCTTTAAAAGATCACCACAGCAAGAGGCCAGGTAGAGCATCCTGGTCTTACTAGCCTTTTAATGTCAAGCATAAATAGGCCCTTATGTATTCAAATCAGCAGCAAATAAGTGGTGAAGGTCACAGGATGCTTAAATGACTATACAACATGCTCCCTCGGATTTCTGGAGAAAGCACTCGAAAGGTTTAGCCATCAGATCTTCTAACTTGTCTAGTCATCATAACTACTGGTGCAGCTACGCCTGACAGACAGTATTTCAGCTTTGTCTCTTTCAGCACCAAGTTCCCAGCCAGTCATTCCCAAAAATAATACGCCTGGCAGAACAGACAACTGCCCTAGACTTTCAGATCAGTGCAAAGGAAGGGCTGAGCTCTTATAGGAAAGCAGCAGTTTGAAAGGTCAGCCAGAAGACCACAGGCCAGATTCCAACAGCAGTTGCAGCCACGTAATTTCTTAAATTTTAGCTGCAGAAAAAGGTAGAAATCAGAGAACACAGTTCTCTGCATTAAAAGCAGCTCTCTGTGCACTTCCAGGAAGTAAGAAGAGTCAGCAGCTTGAGGTACACAGGGGAACTAATCCTTCTAAACTATAATTTAATATTGCAAACATGAGCATAGTGGGACCTCAGCATTCCCAAGGCTCTCACTGTACTCAGGCGGTATGAGTGCTTAACTGTATGGGTAAGTTTGCAATATTGCTACCTCTGTTTGTGCAGCCAAGTGACCAACTTATCTCCAACAAGCCTACCGCATAGTTTAAGTGTACTTCCAGAAACACCAACTTGTGACCTAGAGGGGCAGGTTTCCCTTGCTTGCATCCCTTTGCATTTCAGGCTGCATATCCCAAAGCAATCTACCATAGCAAGCAGTACAGAAGATCAGAGCACTGCTGCAAGTTTGTTGTAACCCCATTTGTGCCATCCCCTTTGTACTGGTGGCAACAGCAGGGACTCAACTCTACAACCTGAACAGAAGGAGGCAGAAGCATTTCTAAAACTATTTAAAACATAAATGCATACTACTCTTGCCAAGTTTTATCTCCCACAGCAGCCTTTTGGACCTTTCTTTCACCATGATGTGGCATCTGCCTTTTAAGCAAGTCTACTTTAATTACCACAACGAAGTCTAATAAAGCAAGAAAAATAAATACAATAAGATCCTTGGATAATCCAGAGGTTTTGTTTGGTTTTAGCAACTAGGTATTGAATAAATGAAATGATCATGTGAAGCCAACTAACCAAAGGAGTAAGAAACAACTAAGTGCACAAGTACTGGCAGGGAAGAAAAGCCACCTATGCAAGAACAGCATAAAGGAGGAGCCAGAGATTAAAGCGAGTACACTGTTGATTCTTCAGTCCCACACAACAGTAGCAGCATGTGATACTGAGTTACACTATAAAAGAGCAAGGCAGATGTTTTTCACTGTGCCCAGAGGGGTTACTAGCAGAAAATAATAATAATAAAATATATATACATGCAGCAGGATAGGCATTGTGGTTTGGGGGTCTCCCTTCCCTTCCCCCTGCCACCCCACCCCCCAAAAAAGGTACAAAAGGAAAAAAGATCACAGAAAATAAGAACTGTAAGATGAGGAAAGAAAACCAGATATAAAGAATTAGGAGCCACTTTGATGTGTTTTGCACAGGGAGACAAAGCACTTCTTCATTAACAGAGAGAAAGAAAGAGTTATCACGCAAAGCTGCAGAAGAATTCACTGAGGTTATGAGCAAAATGCAATAGCCAAGAACCAAGGATGTGGGTTCACTGCTACTTGAAGTATTAAACAATAAAGCTGACACTTTTCATTCTGAAATAACCACCTAATTACCCTCACAGAGTAGGAAAATAGACTCTGTTTTCAGAATCTAATTGTTATGCACAGCATTACCATGCATACCACCTTGATTTGCTTCCTGCCACCACCCCCAAAAAAAATTGTTTTCCAAAACAAAAGTCACAAACAAGTTTCAGACAAAATATATATATTTTAAAAAAATCTTTACAATAAGTCAGGAAACATAGGAGCTTGCATACAGTTTATTATAATAACTCAGTTCTCAGCTCCCTACAGTTCAGATAACCCTGGTGACAGTGTTTACAACTTCTAATTTTTGCTTTCATAACTTTAAAGCAAACAATACATTTGAGTGTATTTTACTCTGTGCAAATAAGACAACTTTTGGAATCCTTCAGAAGAAATATCCAAGATTCTGTTTGCAGAGGTCCTTTGTTTCTCAAAGATGATGTATGAGAGTTTTTGTTTTAAGATAAAGTGCTCCTGTCCAGCAGAACCCAAAGGCCTTCAAGAGTTCAGAGAGTAAGTTTAGCTCAGATTAAAAAATAATTGGTCATACAAATTCCAGCTTCCCATGTCCGCTGTACATTCCCCAGTGGACTAGCGAAAGAATTTTATCATTGCTGAGGTCTGAATGTCTCATTTTATCACAGGTCATGCAGCAGTTCTCGTGACCAGTCACAGGCACCATGCATTCCAAGTCCAACTTTGCCACCTGCCCTTTTTTCGAATGATGTCCATGAAAACTATAGTGCAAACGGGAGAGCATTTGCTGTCGTTGATCTTGCAGTCTCTTATTTTCACTCCTGAGCATCCGCAAGGCCAGCATGATAAGGAGCACCAAGATTAGCCCACCAGCTATAGGAACAGCAATTACAGCTGCCCTGAACCATAACTCTTTTGAAGAGGTCAATTCCTGCACCTTGGTGATGAGATTCCTGCTGCTGTCATGCTGATATCTGCTCCCTTGTCCTGCAAAGGGGAAAGATGTGAAGCTTATTTCAGTATCAACAGCTGGTTTATATACAAGCAACTGCCTTAAATGTCACACTGAAAAGTTTAAGGAGCCATAGCTACACACTCCGCAGTGTCTACAGAAAATACTCCTATAAAGAAAAAGATGAGTTTCTAAGGCTGCTTATACATGGAATTTCTTACCCTGATAGCCGATTTAACCAGGAACACCATTGCCATTGCTTCTTAGAAGCAATGTCAAGTTGGCAAGACAGACCTTTAAAATTAATGTAGACAAAAAAAGCTACTCAACTGAGATGCTCCCCCACATCCAGCCACCCGCTTCTCCCTCTGGTGTCTCTGCTTCCATTAACAACTAAATCAATAACAGACATACAAGGTTTTGACTGTCACCAGCCTGATGGCCAGAAGAGAGATTTCACTGAAGCTTCCGTGCCCTACCTGAAGTATCGCCCCTGGAAGGGGACAAAACATCATGTAGTCCTCTGTAATTGCACATATCTTCATGACAGCATTCCAACGTGGACACAGTGGTGGTGCCAGAGTGGTTTTGTGCTTGTTTGGCTTGGCAGATATCAGCTGTGCTTGCAATAGAGTCCAAGCAGCCATGAGTAAGCGGGGAATGCGTATTCTGAGGATCAAGCAGTCTGGAGAAGCAGGCGCTAAGCTCAGATTTGCACATATAGCCGGTTGCAACACAGTGTGCAGCATCACAGTAGCATCTGATTTCACCTAAAAAACAAAAATTGTGCAAGAAAGGTAAGAGTTTGGTCCTTTAAGGACACCTCATTAGGTACTCTTATTAGCCGCAAGTATCATACAAGCAAACTCGGTGCCAGTTTTGGGGTACCCCTCTAGACTGTAAATCCACAAAAGCAGGGGTTGTTTCCTTCCCATCACTGTACAGTGTCTACCTCATTGTAACCTTAATCCCTGCAAATGCCTTGGGGCACTTGTTTTAATTACTAGTACTATAGCCCTTTGAATTAAAGCAAGAACATTTCACTAAAACAGGGATTGGGGGCGGGCGGGGGGGGGGGGAGGAAGGTCACAGTGGCTTTTTTTCCAAGGTAAATAACTAACAAGCCCATTTTATAGCTACTTCCACTCGCTGTCAGCAGTTGCATTAAACCACATTTAAAATGAAATCCCAGTTTTAAAAGCAAAACACACCTTCAGTCCTATAAGGAAGTCACATTTATGTTTTAAACCATTACTACAGGAACAACATTCTATTTTTATAAAGGTAATGCTTCTTTTAACTGGGCATAAGCACACAACAAAAATACTAGGTTTAAATATTTGTGTGACAAAAAAAAAATCGGAACTGCCGAATTGTTTATTACCTCTCAATACTGTGCCAAAATTTAAAAGGTTTAACTAACACCTTATAAAGCTATTAGCTAGAGCCATTACCATCCAAGTCTCCCAGTCAGGAAGGTTTTTACTGTGTGAAACTGGGCAACTATTTGCAATTTCTCCAGAAAGAGAAAAATTCTTTAAGTAGCCATTCATGCAGAAAGGCTTTTTTATCAGTATTATAAAACAGAAAGAGTGCAGTTTATAATTAATCTGTTTGCCAAAGTCCATGTCTCTCAACTCAAATGTAAAGTTATAAAATGGGGTGAAATTGCAAGGCTAAAAGCTCCCCCTTGCCCCTCCCCAATTTTGCATGCAATCCAACATGCGGTCAAAAGGGGAAACACTTAGACTGAAAATCCTCTACCGGCTCTACGAAAAATCTCTCAGGAAACCTCAAAAATTTCTGAAGGAAGCGATAAAAAAGTTCCCTTCATAAAACTCTTCATTTTGTGCTCTCCAAACTGCTCTGGTACGAATTATACATGTCCTGTGCTGTAGGGAAAACTTACTCTTTCTAGGCAAGTTGCAACTCAAATGTAATTCAATGTGCCATCGATCCAAGGTTCAGGAGGAAGCCAGATTTTGGAGCCATCCTTAGAAGAGTGGACTTAAAACTCCTTCTAATGCACCTGGTGTACTTGCCACCATAGTGGCACCAAGGCTTTCAAAGTCAACTGAATTGTCAGATGTCTTCCTTCTATAGTCTGCACTTCAAAAATCAATATCTCCAGGCTTCCCTGCTGCCACCACTTCTTATGATGCTTCCTACCACCCCATACCTAAAGAGTATTCTGAAAGATGTTAAAAGTCATCCCAACCGAGTTAGCTTCCCCCTCTTCAGCCCACCTTAATACTTTCCCCAAAACGCTACTGCGGGCTCCAGGCCTTGAAGTTCCCGCTGCTCTTTAATAACTCTGCTTAATAGAAGCCAAATGATGGAGTGTCTCACTGTCTCCAGTCCAACTCCCTTGGGCTTTTAGACCAAGTAACCTAATTTTTTGTGAATTCACACACACTGTCATCCAGCATGCTATGGAAAAAAGACTCAGTCATTTTCTAAGCATTCTATGCGAAATCTTCCCCCTACGCTCTCTGAAAAAAAAAAAAATTTCATCATTTTCTCACTGTATGAGTGTTAAAAATAAGATGCGAACAAGAAACAGCACCAGAGCCGACAGTCCTTTCGTGAGTCTCAGCACAGCACGGGACGAAAGTGAAACAACACGCACACTTCCATTTTAACTGTTTATACAATCACGCTTAAAATTCTACATTTTACTGACCCAAGACAAACTTATAAACAAAATCTGACAAGCTAGTCATCAGGTTAATTCAACTGCTTTTTAATTAAAGCCACGTTTTCAGTGAAACAGAATGGACTTTGTATCACTGTATTAAAACTGCATTTCTGTCAATTCATAAAGTTTCTTCCTGTGCTATGCAAAAGGCCAGAAAGGGTATTTAGTATTTTGAAACAGCGAACAATGCCCTTCTGTTCCCTCCTCTTTCTTGTTACTGTATGTAGCTATTAAAGAAAAATGTCTGCTTTTAGTCAAGATGGCTACAGGAGAGACTGCAGGCTTCTCTTAAAGCTTTTGAAGTCAACAGCAGCCAGAAGTCTGTGATCCCCTAATTATATCATTATCAGGCACATAGTTTCAGTATCTGCGACTTCACATCACTCAGTCACTCCCTGTTCTGCCCGCTTTGATGGGGCCAGCGGGCTCCCCCCTGCACGCTGCAAGGGCTGTTATTTGGGGTTAATTACAGCCTTCCTTCCAAAATAAATAAATACCGTCGCACACCATCGCCGCGCTAGCTTATCCTTTAACCTCCTCCCCGGAGCACGGCGATCACCGGCAGCCGGCGGGTCGCCTCTGCCCCGGGAGGGCGCTCCGCGGGCGGCCAGCCCCCAGCCCCAGCCCCCAGC